AGAATCGGAAGAATCTGAATGGATATCATTAGAATTTGAACTATTATACAGAGATTGAACTGGGACTAATTTTTCCACACGTTTATTATCCAATTGATTCGGTCTTTTGTGTGAATTCTACAACAGAAGGCATTTATTAACATAATTACAAACAATATTATTTATTTTTCTTGAATTCAATTTTACTGTAATTGAATGTTACGTAAAATATTTTTGACAGCGTAAATTACGCGTAAAAATACGCAATTTTACGCTGTAAATTACGCAAAATTACGCGCCATGCAACCTTACTTATAGTATAAAATTTAATCCTATACTACATGTAATTGAATGGACAGTTGTAATAAATACTAATGATTATGGGAAACAGTGTCCATATAAACCTTATATTATATTATAAAGCATTTAATGAATACATACCTGTCTAAGTGCTGCCGAAACTACTTTCACATAACTATCCCCTCCAATCCTTTTAGCGTCGCCTACGATCTTACTATCGAGAGCATTGGCACGTTTAAGGGCGTCCTCCCTGTCCTCGTAGACAAATTGCACCATTTTATTGTCATCGCCACTGAAATAGCTTTCCCAGAGTTGATTCAACTGGGAGTCCGTGTATTCAATAGCAGGTTGTCTGACGTGTGCCATACCATAGTATCCAACACTGGGAGCTCTACCATTCAATGGCCGGGCAGTCATAGTGCGGGCGTAACCAAAACCTGGCCAGTTGTCGTTGATTTTGCGGAACTTCTGGTCAATAGTATTGTCGAGTCGACCATTCTTTACAAATTTAGAGCGCATTCCCTCACAACCATTGGCCTACCGGTGCCAATGAATTGTTAGATTAGTTTACTTATGAAATATTTACGGATACCTCGTGAGTGACCATAGAATCAGTGAAAAACTTGAATCTTCCCCATTGAGACGATTCTGTTTGTGAGACAATCATTAATAAGTACTATAAACTGAATACAAGTTTTGTGAAGCACCCAATTTGATTTCACTAATCGGTGTAAATAATCTCTTATTAGTAAAATTGGTTTTTGAAAAATATTCAT